GTACAGCACGGAAGAAAAAAAGTACGGAGAGGCTAGCTCCGAGTTTGCATGCGTCCGACTGGGGGGCCTGAAAGTGTCCAAAAATCCTCCCATTGGTGGACAGAACAGCGCTAGCGGCAGCGCAGAGAGGACAACTAGTCAAAGCATGCGGGCGAGCGAGAGCCAGGGGGCAGGGCGAGACGGAGGAACGGGGTGGGTGCGTGGGGCGTGGCGCCCCATTAATTGCCATGTACAGTATGTAAAGGCCGTGCCGACTTTGTTCTGCACAGGCACAGGGATCCAGCCGCTGGGGAAAACACAAGTGTGAGGACTTTTTCACCGCGCATTGCGGGCAGACCGAGACCAGACAGCCATCCTCATACCACATCCATCCTCGTGTGCGTGCCCGCGGCGCGCCAAGTAGCCAGCCAGACAACCAACCCCGTCCCCAGCACCTCCGTGCCGACGTCCCCCCCCCCCCTGGCCTCCACGCTCCGTCGCGTGGACGCGAGCACTACCAGTCGGCAGTCTACCACTCTACCAGGCACCAGCTGGTCGCTTGATTGCGATTGCTAGCTCGCCAGCGGCCGCCGTGCCGACCCGGCCGGCCGCTCACGTATCGCCGAGCCCGAACCGGATCACAGAACACAACAGAACAGTTTTGCATCGCCCCCGGCTCTCGCGACGCGCCGGGCACTGAGCACCGCGCGCTTTGACTAGTTGGCGCGCCGGGCAAAGGTGCCTTTCGGCAGCGTACGCACGCGCTCCGGAGCTCGGGCGTTAGGTCCGCCGGCCGGGCTCAAGCCAGGACACACATCGTTTAGCACATGTGATGCCAGTGCCATGCCAGTCGGGGCGCCCTCCTTCCTTTCTTGCTCTCGGCGGCGGGCTCGGCAGGACCAACCAACCGTGATGGTCAGGCGGACGGACGGCCCTGGGATTTTTCTCCCCCGGGCCGTGGATCGTCGTCGTCGTCCCGTCGGCTCGCGGAAAGGTTGAAAGGTCTAGTGGTCTACAGTAACTAGGCGTCTAGTAGGTCTAGCCGCTCCGGTCCGGTACCTTCCTTGGGGCGCGCATATAATTGCGCCACGCCAATGTGACACGTTGCGCACTGTTCCCATACTATTTGGGGGCCGTACTACTGCCCGGAGAGCCCATGCTCCTGCTGTGTGCCCCCTCGAAAAAGCACGATTTTGCATCCCTACTCCTATGCGCGACAGGACGATTGTTAAAAGAACAACAGCGGCTGCTTTGCTCATTATCGATTGTTTGCGATCGGACCGGTGATTTAACAGCGCATTACTCAATGAGTGTTAGAACAATGAGTGCGATATCATATATTTAGCTAACTGACGTGGAGGTAGAGAATTATATGCCCTGTATATACTAATAACCCCTCCTATGAAAGGATGGCACGCTAGAAACAACTGTAAGGGGGAGGCCTTGAGTAGTTTGGTCTTATCTAAGTGCCACCAGCGTGCACCAGTGATTCAGAGAACAAAATATCCCTTTGATCTTACATCGAGATACTTTTATAGATTGATTGAATTGATGTAACTGCGTAAGTCGCTGCATGTATAATCTTCTACGGTAACGATTTTTTGTGATTTATTTTATTCATTCCGCTATTACTTCATCGTGTTATATATATGTATGCTAATTTACACATAGTAGTATAGTAGTTGAATTTTGGTTCTGTTACCATTAATCATGATTCATATTACAAATTTACATCATGCAAGTACCTGATGATGATCCAATAACCAGGACCTCCTTCAAAATTCATAGGCGTGTGGAGACATCGCTGACCTGTTGCGATCGTGATGCTGATTTAACAGCTTGTCAATCAGGACCTCCTTCACAATGGCTAGTCTGCTTGTACCAAACAAGGATGTCCCTATTCCATCCCACTCTACCCAAAACCAAACACAAGTTCAGAATTACTCCTATGCCAGTTTTGATACGGCACGCGACCTCCGAAATTACGATTTCCCCGTAACCACGAACCTAGAAAAATAAGAACACAATTACGCCCGAGTGAGAGGTGACACCAGGCCGGCTGGTGGCGACAGCACTGGACTGGAGTAGGACAGCAAAAGAAACCGAGAAAAGAGACGAGGGGCGGTAAAGAATGGAGCAACCGGTGACTGACCAAGCTCCAGAACGCCAAGACCTCTTCTCTTTGTTTGATGTGGCAGCGGCACTGCACTTGACAGGCAGGCGCCAGTATATTCACCTCCTTCGCTAGAGCTACTTTTTAGCTATAAAATAATATTTTTTTTATAATATATTAACATAAACATCGACGTAAGCTAAATTTAAATGTAATATTTTTGACTTTACGCGCACACACCGGAGCCGGAGCGGATACTGCTACCGCTAGAGATGAGATAGAAATGCGAGCCGGCCGGTCGGCCGTCCCGTGCTGACTGCCACTGGTACACTGGACGGGGCTCGTCTGGGCTCGGCTCCGCTTGTCTTTTTGCGGAAGACTTGTGGGCGAGCGGCTTTTGGCAAAGTGCTGGTGTTGCACGAGAAAGTCTCGGCCTTTTGATGAGAGGTCCGGCCTCTCCCTGCTTTACAGCCGGCCGGCCGGCGGCCGCGGAAGAAGAACGTCCGCGAGAGAGATTTGTTTGCTTGCATTGCGGAGGGCCATGATGATTAGCTGAGGGCATAATAAAACTACTACAGTACGCACGTTAGGTGGTGCCGGCAGTCCGGCTGTACAAATTAAAAGGGTAATGGTCCTGCTACCTGCGCTCCAGACACGTCTTTATACTTCTATACGTATACGGTCGTTTGCGTCCAATCTGACGTCCTGCTGCCGGCTTTTCAATCGATGGAAATCGAGTGACACAAATACCATTAGCTAGCATGCCACTGCGCGGGGATGCCACGCGCACACCAGAAGTTCAGAACAAGGTCACATAGCAGCAGCAGCCAGCAGCCCGGGAGATCAGGAGAATCGAGGATTGAGACGAGACAAACCGGAGCCAAATCCATTCCCCAACTACTATACTGAAAACGGAAGAAACGACACGATCCATGCACCTACAGCGAAAGGAAGGAGCATGGAAATGTCACTGACATGGGACGTGATGATCTTGTACTACACTCTCCCCTCCCCTGGGCTGGGATCGCAATCCTTCCACCACCTTGCTACACTGACAGACGCCTCCGTTGCAAGTACAGGGCGATTACAGAGTTTTTAAGCTGTCGGAGGTTGGATACAAAAGGAATGACACATGGCATGGGTGCAAGGACACACAGTCATCAGCCCCCAGAGGCCAGAGTACCGAAATCAGGCCACCCTCATCACATTTCACCGACACCCACGTGGAGAAAACCAGAGGCATTCAAGGTAGGAGTACACACGCATTACAACATATTAGCAGTAGTTCAGCATTGTATACAGAGATGGACAAGAAAGGAGACGACAGGCCAAGCCCACACCAGCAGTAGAGGTAGTAGCACATTTCTTATGTCTCTGATACTTTATACTAGTCTAGCAGTACTAGATTGGAAACATGCATGTTTCACAAAACATGGGTAGATAGATAATCCTCCCTCCGTTCCTAAAGGTTACGATTTACATGCCGATAACTTTAACTCGATTTATAAAACATACTGTAATATTTCTATCTCTAAATAAATTTATTAAAAAACTAGATTCAAATATTTATTCAATTATACTAATTATGTATTATAAATATTAATATTCTTTAATATATATTTAGTTAAAGTTGTTTCTCGAAAAACAAAAACGATAGACATTTAGAGACTAACTTTAACTCGATTTATAGAAAATACTATAATATTTTTATCTCTAAATAAATTTATTAAAAAACTAGATTCAAATATCTATCTAATTATACTAATTATGTATTATAAATATTAATATTTTTAATATATATTTAGTCAAAGTTATTTTTCGAAAAACAAAAACGATAGACACCTAGGGACGAAGAGAGTACAGAGTAGATTCAGAGTGAGGGTAGGCAGCATCCAATCCCCAGAAAGGTGTGTTGTGTTTGGTTTAAGAAGAAGAGTGGATAAAATATGGCCATTTATGAATTTCGAGATATGGATATTCATATTGTCTGTTTAGTTAGATAGATAAGGCAGAGCCATTTTTCTATTTAGTTGAATGAACGAGATTATATGGAATAAGAATACTCAAGTAATTATATCTATTATTTAAAAATAATAACAACTAATCATACCATAATAAATATACTAAATATACATCGACACTAATCTTGTCATTATAATCACTAATTAAAAATAAAATATGTTAATTAGCACTATACTACTCTAATTGTCACACAAAACATGTGGATATCCTCATCCCTCATCCGTGAAATTTTAAAGTGCCAGGATATCCAGTATCTACACATAATATTCCCTGTTGTGAATAATATTAGGTTCAGCTTATCCATCAAGCAAACAGCATGTATCCATATCCATATCCCATCCATGGATATCCATGGATCAAAACATATCCGATACATACCCGATGAGAAACTACTAGTAATACATCAAACACAGCAACAAAAAGGCCGTCCACCTCCTTCTTGGTCCATCAGTCCACTGTACACAGAATGTTAGATGATGAATTCCCTCCGGGGAGGGAGGGTGATTGAAGGCGAAATAATAGGCTTCTCTCCATCAACCAGGACGCAGATCATCAAGGATCCCCCAAGCTTTGTGATCAGCAGAACGAACGACTTCACCCGACGACGACGAAACAATAAGTCCTAGAGTTTTATCATCAGAATATGGAGTTGGCTGTCCTTTTGAGTGCACCACTTGCCATGGACAGCAGCAAAGCCTTGCCGTCGTCGCCGGAATTCAGATGACCCCAAGCAGCAGCAGTAGTAGTATAAGGAGTAGAGCAGATCGGTACAACTATAAGTCAAGCTTACCATCTTCTTGCTATAAGGAGGAGAACAAGTTGAAGTTTGTGTGGAGACGACCACCATGAGTCTTATGATCAGCAGGCAGCAGCTGTGATGTATGTACTAGAGGTTAGCCCTGAGGAAGTCGGCGATCTCCTCCATGACCTCGTGGTAGTGGTCCGTGTTGGACAGCAGGTAGAAACCAATGGTGGCCTTCTCACGGTACACGAGCTTGACATGGTGGCCATCTTCCTGGAGGCCCTCGGCGTACGCCAGCTGCCGATCGCAGGTGAGGTCCAGGCCCGACACGATAATGAGGCTCTTGGTGAAGGGTAGACCCCTGAGCCGCCGCCCGTTCGGCCCGAACGGGTTGCACGCCGGGTGGTCCCGGTCGGCGTCCTCGGGCAGGTACGCCTTCCAGTACCAGTCCCTGTCCTGGAGCGTGACGAAGTACTTGCCGTCCAGCCGCCGCTCGGACTCGGTGCGCTCGGTGCCGCCGAACATGGCGTTGAGCAGGATGTTGCCGCATATGTTGATGCCGGCGTCGGCGGCGCGGACGGCCACGTGGTGGGCGATGTTGCCGCCGGAGCTGTCGCCCGAGAGGAAGACGCGGGGGCGGGCGTCCGCGCCGCTGCGGAGGAAGGGCTGCGACATGGCCCACTTGAGCGCGGTCCAGCCGTCCTCGTAGGCGCACGGGTACCGGTGCTCGGGGGCGCGCCGGTAGTTGACGGACACCACGACGCCCTCGCTCAGCTTCACGAACCGGCGGCACAGGTTGTCGTAGATGGCCGTGCCGGAGGACGAGTGGGCGAAGCTGCCGCCGTGGAAGAAGAGGATGACTGGGAACGGGTCCGGCGACGGCGCGCCGGCGAGCAAGTCCAGGATGGGCAGGGTGACCGCGGCCGCGCCCGCGGCGCCGTTGTTGTTAGCGGCGGCGCGGTAGATGCGGACCTCCAGGCCGGTGGACGTGTCGATGACGTGGTCGAACGAGGAGACCCCCTCCTGGGCCCGCGCGTCGGGCGGCACCCGGCGGTCGAGGAACTCGGCGAGGTCGCGGTCGAAGGTGCCGTCGGCCCGCCGGAGCATGTTGTACGCCAGCTTGAAGTTGGAGATGAGCACCCATGTGTGGATCGGCACCGCCCCCTGCACACGCACAACAAGAAACCAACATCAACAGCAGCAACAGTTTCAGCCCCCCTCTTCAGTCCTCTCATCACAAACACAAACACATGGCAGTTGTTCCAGCGCCCCCCCTATTCGGCTAGTATTCCTTTGCAGTTTCCTCGCATGGGCGAGAAGGGCAATGCGAGCGGCGATCTTTGGCCTCCGCTTGCCCGAAAAGATGGAAGCTTTGGCATGATTTGGTCACTTCCTCTCTTGTTGGGTAGCCATTTCCGTGGCATCCCTCGCTACTCCTCCCAAACTCCAAAAACAACGGGGGCAAGGGCGAAGAGGATAAAATTGGGATTGAGCCCAAAGGGGAAAGAGGCAGCGATTGACCGGGAAATCACCGGCCAGCGCTGGCCCCAATCCACCACCGTCCCACCGAATCATAAAGCGCGGCGGGCGGCACAAATCGGGAGCCGCGGCCCTGGCGCCCCCCCCGAAACGCGCAACCGAGGGCGGGAGCCGGACGCAGGACGGACGGCGGGGCACATCCCCGCGCGACGAAAGTAGTACTAGTTCAAGGAAGGGAGCAACGGGAGCCGCGCGCGCACCTTGCACTCGTTGCGGTTGACCTCGTCGCTGCCGGCCATGGCGGTGGGCGGGCGCCGCTCGGCTTGGGACCGCACCGCCGGCTTCACTGCTGCAAGTGCAAGATCTCCGCCCCCCACGGCATGGGCCCCGGAGGCCCGGCCACGCCAAGTGATCCCGCTGAACCGAGCCCGGCTCGAGCGCGGCCACCCTCCCGCGTCCCCGATCTCCTCGCGGCCAAGCACCCTCCTCGGCTCCTCCAATACAAATCCCCGCCGCCACCAACCTCTGGCTGGGCTCGACGAACCAAGCAGGGGAACGAGCAGCGGGCGGGCGCGCGCGGCGGCAGTAACGAGGAGTGGGGGCGAGGCGAGGCGGGCGCTGAACTGAGCAGCAGAAGCGCTGTAGGCTCTGGCGTGTGTGTGTGTCGGGGGGGGACGCGGGCACAGGGAGCGAGGGAGAGATGGAGGGGAACAGGAAGGAGGGGGGGGGGGGGGGTTAATAGCGGGGGCCGGGGGCGGGGGCGGGCGGACGGAGGAGACGACAAAACTGGGCGTCTCAAAAAGTAAACCCGCGGCGGATGCGGGGCCCACACGCGCGCCCCCCCCCCACACTTCTCTCTCTACCCGAGCTTCTCTCTCTATCTCTCACTTAACTGTCTCTCTCTCTCGCCTGGCTTTTGGCCTGGTTTAGATTAAGTTTTTTTACTCTCTCTTTATCACATCAAATCTTTAATAAATATATGACGTATTAAATATAGATAAAAAAAACTAATTACATAATTTGATTGTAATTACGAGACGAATCTTTTGAGCTTAGTTAGATTATAATTGGACAATAATTGTCAAATACAAACGAAAATGCTATCTTATCACATACTGATTCCTAACCCCAATTTAACCCAGGTTTTGTTTGTTTATTTCTTTTGGAGGGTTTCGCGAGAAGGTTTGGATGGATCTGCCAAGGGCCGACGCCCCTGCCTGCCGCTGCTGCCCTTTGGGAACGAGACGAGAGTTGCCCTCCTGCTTTTCGGGCACGTTTGGTCGGAGGACTGGACATCTTGCCCGGCAAAAACAGATTCCTGAAAGTTAAAAGAAGATATGTTTGGTGGGCGTCATGGATCTGAGAAGTTATATGATAATTAAATAATATGAGGATAATATAACTTTAACACTTATGATTAAATAATATAAGAATAAATAAAATTTTTAAATAAGAAATAAGATATATAAATAATCATAATCTAGATTGCAAAATAAACTTTAATTTGATGAACAATAAAAAATCTTTTCCACACGTTGGTGAATAATAATATGGTTATAATTTTTTAGCAGCAACTTGCATGTTATTTGCGGGCACTAAAAAATAGGATATAAGTTAATTATTAGTACAAAATATGCACAGTAGCTAATTAACTTGAATTAACTTTGATGTTTTACACAGTCAAGCAGGTTTGCTGGTGCCGGGCGCTCATTTTTTTAGCCTGGAACTGCCCTCCGATGCCTGAACCAGACAGGTGCCCAGGTCTACATCCAAATGAATCACAGGCAACACACAGGCAGCCATCCACCCAGGCAGATGGTCTCCGGGGCACCATCCAAACATCCCCTTCTTGCTCGCTTGCCTTTTTCCTCCGTCGCCCTCGTCGTCGTCGTCTTCCCTGGCCTGGCCATGGGACGGACGGGGTTGGACGGAGCGCGAGAACTGCTGGTAGGTGCACCAAAACGGTGTGCGTGGACGTTGGGCTATCCGCTGGACGTATTCCGTGCCACTATTGCTATCGCGCCTTGGTGCAAAGGAAAGCCCTCTCGTCTTCGAGCCCCGAAATGCTCTCCCCCGGTGCCGTGTTACCTTTGCCACTTTTGTTTTTTATATTTTTTCATAGCGTTTACAAGTGATCACGTAGAACACGGCTCTCCTGCGTGTTTTATTTTATAAATAAATCACTGTGATGTATTATTTTTGACAAGTAAATAACTGTGATGTATGTTTCGTCGATGCAACTACGAGCAGCAGTATTTCTGAGGAGTTTTTTTTACTGGGAATTATGTTAGGGTATCATCAGTACACAAGATACTGTAACAAAGTACCGCAGTTGAAATGAAGTACGCCTAAACTGACTTCTACAAGCCTAGCGTGCCTTTAACCTTAGGTTGGCGCTTTTTTTTTTTGGCAGGTTGAAGTCACATCGGCAATACATACACCGGCTTACCCAGGCCTTTATTGCAAGTTTTTTCACTCTCTCTCTCATATCAAATTTTTAATACATGTATGGAGTATTAAATATAGATAAAAAAATAATTAATTACACAGTTTGATTGTAAATTACGAGACGAATCTTTTGAGCCTAGTTAAATCATGATTAATACTAATTCCTAACCCCAATCTAAACAAGGCCAAAAACACAAAGTGACTCTCAAACATCTTATCTGAGAACCATAGCATTAGATCAACCAAAAAAGGAAAACAAAGGGGAAAAAACTAGCATAGCTTCGGGCCTTGTTTAGATAGCCTCAAAATTCCAAGTTTTTTCACTCTCTCTCCATCACATCAATTTTTAGCCGTTTGCATCTATATCTAATTGCACAGAAATCATAGCATTCTTTTGAGATCAACCAAAATATTTAAAATAAAGGGAAAAAACTATTCATAGGTTTGGTTTTTTCTTGCTAAACGAGGCCTCGGTCTTGCGGACTTATATAGTAGTCTTCAAGTAGCCAGCCCAGCGCCGTGTTATAGCTGGTTTTTTATTGTGGTTGTTGTTGCGTAGCTGTTTCGATTGCCTCAATTTCACATGAATTATATGAAATTGTCGCGGGAGTTTGATTAGCTTTACAGAGAAAATTTAAGAGAATTTTTTTAGTCGACTGTCGTATAATTATACTGCACCAACTGGATAAAGGTTATTTCGACGGGTGCCATTATAATTTTATAATTTTGAAACCTATCATTACTATTCTGCTATTTTGATATTTGTCATTATAATTCTACTGATACCTAAAATCTACCACTTTCTACGTTTCTCGTATAATTATACTACTTGATCCTATTCGGCTTGTTGAATTTTGGCTGAAACTGGCTGAAAAGCACTGTTATGGCTGAATTGTTGTGAGAGAAAAATATTGTTCCGACTAAAAAAAGAAGCCGATCAAGCCGGTTTCTAGATAAGCCGAACGGGGCTAGGTCCAACTGCAGCAGGGCTATAAAAATTTCGTTTCCACAAAAATACCCATGTGGTCTTCTTCCTCCTTTAGGCACCGTCCTGGACGTCATGCAGTCTGTTCGCTTACTCGTATACAATCGTGGATTATAAGCTGCAACAGTATTTTTCTCTCACACCAAATCAGCCAACAGTAAATAATCAATGATCGTTTACGACCAAACGAACAGACCGATGGTCGATCTCCTCTCCTCCTCACACATCATCGGCCTCCCAGTCCTCGGGCACACCCTCCTCCCGCAGGAACTCCTGCAGGCACCCTTCGTTGGCCTTGTGCTCCTTGAGCGCGGCGAACTCAGTGCTCGTGAAGGTGCCGCCCTTCTAGCCGAACCGGAGTACCACGAGGTTGACGACTGTATTTTGCACCATGCGGATCGCCACTGCCGAGCTAAGGGTGGCAAGCACAGGCATAGGCGAGGCGATTGTGTGGGTGTGGGGCCAGGCCGATGCCGCCGGCCGGCAGCTTCTAAACGGCGTCCCTTAAATATAACTTCAGGCTCGGTTCAGCAGCATAATGTTGAACTTTACCTAATGATGAATTTTTTTTCTCCAATCTGGGATCAGTACTAGCTGGTGCTAATCTAACTCCCAAGTCCCAACAGGTCCACACACCCCCCCACACATCAATGAATTGTTCATTGTTGGAGGGGACAAGTATATTGTCTACTCACTCCGTTCCATTGAAAGTGTTATTTTTACTCTTATACTTCTTATTTAACTACTCGTCTTATTCATAATTTTTATATAAATATTATTTATTTTGTTATAGCTTATTTTTATCATTAGAAATACTTTAATAATAATTTATTTATTTTATTATTTGTTAAAAAATTAAATAGGACGAACGGTTAAATAAGAAGTCTAAAAATTAAAACGACACTTTTAATTGGACGGAGGGGTACTCGTGTCGTGAATAGAACTCCAGGAAGGTATATAAATGTATAGGTGTATAAAACTTGCTTATTGAAATCACTATGCCTGCCTGATTGGCCAGTACTCAAGGCCACAAAACCATTGCTTGCAATTATTGCGGTACATGCACATGCCCCGGATGACACTCACCTGTCACCTGTATACAATTCACCTTCAAAAATGGCCCTTGCATGCATCTGCCATTTTCTTTTCTCTTTTTTTTTTTCCTGTTCGGTGACAACTATAGTTGGACCGAAAATAAGCTTCTTGATTGGTTCATCAATAGTACAGCAGCTCTTTGAGAGTTTTAGGCTGCAAACATGGTATAAGCACCGGGACGGGCTATCACGCCTACACCAACCAACCTATAAGCACCGGACCCTAATCCAGGTCAGGTCAGGTCGTGCTAGCTGTGCACTGCTGCAGGCTCATGATGAAAGCTGCTGACACGGATGGGTCCTATTGTGAGCGAGACAAATCTTCGTGTATACAAGAAGCTACGTATTCCGAACCATAAATCGACGTAAAACAGACTTGAAAGGGTGCTATACTATGATCAAGTACAATCATTTCTGAATTGTACTGTAGTAGTAATGTGGAAGAACATCAACAACTGGCATCTTTTCGCAGGGTAAAGAAACATCATGCAGGATCGATCTTTTTCTAAGGAATACAATGATGTATTTGACTATTTCGACAGGGAAATCTCCAGTGTGATATGCACATCATAGATCATACCTGGCCCTAACTTCACCGTAATATTACTATTAACATCCCCTGGCAGCTGGTGCACTGTTTCCGTTTCATCGCCAGAGCCCGGTGGCCCAAAAATTAGCCCATGCTGAACCCATACAAATTATACTAACGCCTCCGTTTAGTAGAGCTTCCGTCGGCTCTGGCTCCGCCTTCTCATGCACTGTTGTGAGGAAT